ACCTTGAACTCTTCCAGGAGCAAAGCCCTTTTTCCTTCTAATACACTCCCAAAGACAGCCCAGAAAGAATGAAACATGCCCTCTTTACTTACATATGGACCAAGAAAGAAAAATGAAATAAACTCCCCTTTGAGCTTCAAGTCAGTAACAAAAACTAAAAATAGGCCAGGCACAGTGGCTCACACCTATAATCCCAGCACTTTGGTAGGCAGAGGCGGGTGAATCACGAGGTCAGCAATCAGCCTGGCCAACATAGTGAAACCCTGTCCCGACTAAAAATACCAAAAAAATTAGCCAGGTGTGGTGGCAGATGCCTGTAATCTCAGCTACTCAGGAGGCTGAGGCAGAAGAATCACTTGAACCCAGGAGGAGGAGGTTGCAGGGAGCCAAGATTGAGCCATTGCATTCCAGCCCGGGGGACAGAGTGAGACTTCATCTCAAAAAAAAAAAAAAAGAAAAAGAAAAAGAAACATCCCCCTGCCCCAAATTAGCTAAAAGTGTTGCAATAATTCAATAAAGGTAAACATTTTTTAAGAATAAAATAGGCCGGGCGCGGTGGCTCAAGCTTGTAATCCCAGCACTTTGGGAGGCCGAGGCGGGTGGATCACGAGGTCAAGAGATCGAGACCATCCTGGTCAACATGGTGAAACCCCGTCTCTACTAAAAAATACAAAAAATTAGTTGGGCATGGTGGCGCGTGCCTGTAATCCCAGCTACTCAGGAGGCTGAGGCAGGAGAATTGCCTGAACCCAGGAGGCAGAGGCTGCAGTGAGCCGAGATCGCGCCATTGCCCTCCAGCCTGGGTAACAAGAGCGAAACTCCATCTCAAAAAAAAAATAATAATAAAATAAAATAAAATAAAATAAAAAACAAACTCTCACTGCACTCAATACTTAATTGGTTAAAAACAACAACAACGAAACAGGCCAGGCGCAGTGGCTCAAGCCTGTAATCCCAGCACTTCGGGAGGCCAAAGCGGGCGGATCACCTAAGGTCAGGAGTTCCAGACCAGCCTGGCCAACATGGTGAAATCCCACCTGTACAAAAAACACAAAAAATTAGCCAGGCATCGTGGTGGGCGCCTGTAATGTCGGCTACTCGGGCGGCTGAGGCAAGAGAATCACTTGAACCCAGGAGGTGGAGGCTGCAGTGAGCCAAGGTTGTGCCACTGCACTCCAGCCTGGGCAACAGAAGGGAGACTCCAACTCAAAAAGAAAAACAAAACACACAACAAAGCACACACACATCACAAGCATTTGCTGGAGTCTCCACACTTCAGTAATCTCCTTCCAACATTTTTTTCCCTTCCAATGCTTTTTTGCTGATTTCTTCTAGGCACTTAATTGATTTCCTGGAATAAAATGAACTATCTACATAAAAATTACACAATTAAATTCATGTTCTCAAAAATATTTAATGATACAGAAGTTTATCAGTTAACTGAAAAGAGCTGGACAGAAACTATACATATTTTGTAAAATACACATGCACACATACACACAAACACACAGACTATCCCCAGCAGACACAATTCAGTGTCAGTGATTACATATGATGTGGTGGAGGACTGGAGGATCATTTTCTACATACGTGAGCTGCTTATAAAATTTTAAAAGTAGGCCGGACGCACTGGCTCATGCCTGTAATCCCAGCACTTTGGGAGGCCAAGGTGGGTAGATCACCTGAGGTTGGGAGTTTGAGACCAGCCTGACCAACATGGAGAAACCCCATCTCTATTAAAAATACAAAATTAGGCCGGGCGCCGTGGCTCACGCCTGTAATCCCAGCACTTTGGGAGGCCGAGGCGGGTGGATCACAAGGTCAAGAGATCGAGACCATCCTGGTCAACATGGTGAAACCCCGTCTCTACTAAAAAATACAAAACATTAGCTGGGCATGGTGGCGCGTGCCTGTAATCCCAGCTACTCAGGAGGCTGAGGCAGGAGAATTGCCTGAACCCAGGAGGCGGAGGTTGCGGTGAGCCGAGATCGCGCTATTGTACTCCAGCCTGGGTAACAAAAGCAAAACTCCGTCTCGAAAAAAAAAAAAAAATTAGCCAGGCATAGTGGTACATGCCTGTAATCCCAACTACTCGGGAGGCTGAGGCAGGAGAATCCCTTGAACCCGGGAAACAGAGGCCACTTTTCACTTTTTAAGTTGCCTATTGTGACATTTGCTTAAAATAAGCATGTATTGGCCAAGCGTGGTGGCTCACACCTGTAATCCCATCACTTTGGGAGGCCAAGGTGGGCAAATCACGAGGTCAGGAGTTCGAGATCAGCCTGGCCAACATAGTGAAACCCCGTCCCTACTATAAATTAGCCAGGTGTGGTGGCAGATGCCTGTAATCCCAGCTACTTGGGATACTTTGGAAATAACATACAAAAATTAGTAAGAAGGCTGGGCACAGTGGCTCATGCCTGTAATCTCAGCACTTTGGAAGGCTGAGGCAGGTAGATCCCCTGAGGTCAGGAGTTTGAGACCAGCCTGACCAATAAGGTGAAAACCCAACTCTGCAAGAAATACAAAAATTAGCCAGGTGTGGTGGCATGCACCTGTAATCCCAGCTACTTGGGAGGCTGAGGCAGGAGAATCGCTTCAACCAGGAGGCAGAGGTCACAGTTATCTGAGATCTCGCCACTGTACTCCAGCCTTGGTGACAAAGCAAGACTCCATCTCAAAAAACAAAAAAGAAAATACTATGTTTTTGTAAAAAAACAGCTCCAACGGAGAACTCCTTACTAACCAATCCAACCCATAATGGACTGTCAAATAACAAAGTCCAATTTTGTCCTGCCTCTGAATGCCCTTAAAGCCACTAACACTAGCTGGGCACAGTGGCTCACTCCTGTACTCCCAACACTTTGGGAGTCTGAAGTGGATAGATCACCTGAGGTCAGGAGTTCAAAATCAACCTGGCCAGCATGGTGAAAACCCCACCTACTAAAAATAAAAAATTAGCTGGGCGTGGTGGCGCATGCCTGTAGTCTCAGCTACTCAGGAGGCTGAGGCAAGAGAATCACTTGAACCCAGGAGGTAGAGGTTGCAGTGAGCCGAGATCGCACCACTGTACTACAGCCTGGGCAACAAGAGCCAAACTGTCTCAAAAAAGAAGAGAAAAGAGGGGCCGGGCGCGGTGGCTCACGCCTGTAATCCCAGCACTTTGGGAGGCTGAGGCGGGTGGATCACAAGGTCAAGAGATCGAGACCATCCTGGTCAACATGGTGAAACCCCGTCTCTACTGGGGCCAACTCCAGCCCCAGTACGGCCACCTGACCAACACCTGACAGCTCCCTCTAGGAACGTTTTTTTCTTTACTGACAGGGACTGAAGAAAAAGACTTGACCTTCATACAGGCCGGCATTTAAAGGGCACCAGTTTCATTCTTCCAGAGCCTTGCTGCGAATGACCTGCCTGAGTATCTCTGTGAAGATATAAGGAATTGGAGAAGGGCAAAAAGCTGATGGTGGAGGATTATCTTAAAATTCTTTACAAGGCCGACAGAGTAAAACATGATGTGAACGAGCTAGATTTCAATGCGAATAAGAAGCAACCAAGAAGCCAGAACCCTGGTCTCAAAGATGTCAAAACAAATCACAGTAGCAAGGCTTCCTGTGCTTATTTTAAGCCTTCTGCTGTTGGGTCTAAGAGATGCCGAGGGGTCACCATAAAATACTAAAGACAATAATAACAAGTTTAATTGAATAGTGTTAAAACCCACACATCCTAGTAATAGTCTTACAAGGTGATGGTGCTGGGAAGATGAAATTCTGACAAAGTGGTGTCACAATACCAGTGTGAACCTCAGCCCCAGTTAAGTATCCTGCTGCCTGCAACACAACAATGTTGCGACCTGGACCCATCACATGTTTACGCAAACCACTTCCAACCTAGAGGACAGACGGCCGGAAGCTCCAGGAAGGGCATGAAGAGTGACCATCTGGTCACCAGCCTCCAGCACCCCCAGAAGAAAGCTCTCAGCGGCAGAGTTGTTCACAGGTGCAGATTCACGTCCAGCCTCACACAGATAAGCGCAGCTTTCCCAGGAGCTGGTCTGCCAGTCCTTCTTCCAAACAGCCCAGTCTCCAGCTCTGCCCTGTGGTTGTCTTTGGCCTCAGATCAGAAGTCAATTTGGACAAATCTTCTTAGGAGCCTCCAGAAAAGGTTTTCCAGATTGCAAAGCAATTTCCTCAGCATAAAACCCAGGATTAAAAAAAAGGAAGGGCTCTGGAGTCCTAACTTATCTATTAAAAAACACATTTTAGGCCGGGCACGGTGGCTCAAGCCTGTAATCCCAGCACTTTGGGAGGCCGAGGCGGGTGGATCACAAGGTCAAGAGATTGAGACCATCCTGGTCAACATGGTGAAACCCCGTCTCTACTAAAAATACAAAAAATTAGCTGGGCATGGTGGCGCATGCCTGTAATCCCAGCTACTCAGGAGGCTGAGGCAGGAGAATTGCCTGAACCCAGGAGGCGGAGGTTGCGGTGAGCCGAGATCGCGCCACTGCACTCCAGCCTGGGTAACAAGAGCGAAACTCCATCTCAAAAAAAAAAAAAAAAAGTTTTAATTTTTATTTTCCTTTTTGAGAGATAAGGTCTTACTCTGTTGCTTAGGCTGGAGTAGTTGGTGTACTCCAACATGGGACTCTGAGGCTCAAGTAATCTTCTGGCCTCAGTCTCCCAAAGTGGTAGGATTACAGGCGTGTGAGCCACCATGCCTGGCCCTATCTATTAAACCTTGATTGAATGTAATAGACCAAGTACCACTGCACCAAAGGGACTGGGATGAAATGACCACCCCAGGGCTGTGAGCATCCACACTGGCTCCAAGGAGACAGACCACTGCGTGGGTGACCCCAGGTCTGCGTGCGGCGAGCCCTTGTGTCCATGATGCTTGAGACCCCGCAGGTCAACCTTCGTCCTTCCTTCTCGGTACATTGTTATGGCCCCAGTTTCCTTATTTTTATCCTGATTCTAATAACCAGGTCCTTGAAGAACTTTCTGAGGAATCTCTGTTTTAATGGCACATAAACGGTTTCCTGCCATTTTACTCCCTCTGGAAAGCACACCAGACAAGTATGAGTAGCTCACAGAAGACCAGAGCAAATTCTAGCTCATGCAGCTTTAAAAGAGAAACTTAAGACTACCATACGACATTCACGAATTACACAGAAAACACTGTTGCTAATACGGATGCCATTCATGGCCATGAAACTCCATCATGCCTCTTGTGGTCAGGCCTGAGACAAGGCTTTCTGGTAGGAACGTTTCTTCCCTTAGCAAAAACACGAGCATCACTTCATTTTTCGGTAGAACTTGGGTCTTCGGTATGGTTTCTCTTTATGTGCCTCCTCAGGTTCTCTGGCTCCAATTTTCTCTGATGCTCCAGGAAGTTTAAAATTGTAATCCGTTGTGACATAAGGTACTATCCCTTCGACCCCACGCTGAAATGGAAACACAAAGAGAAGGCATAGGAACACCTCAGGTCCAGCCTAGAGGGGTCTACAGCGCTCTCTCTCGCACCCAGAAGATAGTGTCACAGTGACACCGTCTGAGTAGGGACTTCTCACTTTTTTTTTCTTTTTAAAAAAATTTTTTTTTTTTAAGATGGGGTTTTACCATGATGGCCAGGCTGGTCTTGAACTCCTGACCTCAGGTGATCCACCCACCTCGGCCTCCCAAAGTGCTAGGATTACAGGCGTGAGCCACCACGCCCGGCCAGGACTTCGCACTTTTAAGGCATTTGATCCCTTCCTTCAGAGCCCCCTTTAAGCAACGGGCCTGGTAACAAACCTGCCAGTGCCTCCCTTCTGTCACATTCCTCGAACACAGCAAACAGCAGGAGGCTGAATGGGGTGGAGTGTGCATCCCTCTCAAATAAGGGACACCAGAGGATGAGAATGGTAGGAACATCCTGTCCGCAGAGCCTATTCGAAGCCCCTAGGGCTGGCTCTGGGGCACACAGACGCCTTGGCCCGGTCCTGTGATTCGTCTGAAGACTGTCCTTAGGAGGGCAACCCTGGGAGGGCCTCTGCTCGCTCCTGTGGTAAAGTCTCCACCACGGGAGTTTGGACCATGAGTGACAGTGATTCATCGTCTCAGGCCTCGGAGGCAGCCCTGACACTGCCTTGCCTCATTCAGGATCTACAACAAAGCACAGGTTTCCCAGATCACCCATTCCCATGACCCTTGACCCCACTTCAGCTTCTCACTTCCTGTGGGCCTGAGTAGGCTCCTTCCAGGGCCGTGCCCAGGGTAAGGCTCACCTGGCACTTCAGGACACAGTGTGGAATGGCGATAGCACCAACGAGCAGACAATTCACAGTCTTTAGCTCTTCTGGGGGCACAGGGGTGAGGATGTGGTACAGCCGCTTCTCCATGTCAATGCCTCTACAGATGCCTTCAAGACAGGGGCACAACACAAACATCAGCCTTTCGGAAGACATCCAACCTCCCCTCCACTAGAAACTGCAGAATGGCTTTGAACATAAGTCTTTATTTCTGTTCTGTTTTGTTTTGAAAATACAAAGAGCTGGCATCGTGCAATGGCTCATGCCTGTGATCCCAGCACTTTGGGAGGCAGAGGTGGGTGGTTTGCCTGACCTCAGGAGTTCAAGACCAGCCCGGGCAATATGGTGAAACCCCACCTCAACTAAAAACAGAAAATATTAGCTGGGCCTGGTGGTGTGTACCTGTAATCCCAGCTACTCAGGAGGCTGAAAAAAATAGAAAATACAAAAAGCCAAGAGATGGAGTCCTTGAAAATTCAGACTGTTTGTACCTTCCCTTTGTTCAGCTATGAGGAACCACAATGGTCTACATGCAAAAGTCCTAAACTGGATCGGGCGCGGGGGCTACACCTGTAATTCCAGCACTTTGGGAGGCCAAGGCAGGCGGATCACCTGAGGCCAGGAGGTGGAGACCAGCCTGGCCAACATGGTGAAACCGTATCTCTACTAAAAATATAAAAATCAGCCGGGTGTGGTGGCACGCACCTATAATCTCAGCTCCTTGAGAGTCTGAGACACAAGAATCACTTGAACCCAAGAGGTGGAGGTTGCAGTGAGCCCAAATAGACAGAGAAAGACTTTGCCTCAAAAAAAAAAAAAAAAAAAAAAAAAAAAAGTCTTAGATTGTTTTAATTAAGGTGAGTATAGGCCATGGAGAAAAATCAACCACTAAGGAACATACAGAAAATAACCTGACCTTTCCCCATCACTGTTCCTCCTTTATGGTGTGTACTAAATGACACGATTTCCACGGAAATGCTTTTTTTTTTTTTTTTTTTTTTTTTGAGACAGAGTTTCGCTCTTGTTACCCAGGCTGGAGTGCAATGGCGCGATCTCGGCTCACCGCAACCTCCGCCTCCTGGGTTCAGGCAATTCTCCTGCCTCAGCCTCCTGAGTGGCTGGGATTACAGGCACATGCCACCATGCCCAGCTAATTTTTAGTATTTTTAGTAGAGACGGGGTTTCACTATGTTGACCAGGATGGTCTCGATCTCTTGACCTCGTGATCCACCCGCCTCGGCCTCCCAAAGTGCTGGGATTACAGGCTTGAGCCACCGCGCCCAGCCGGAAATGCTTTTGAGAAATACAGTGTTGTCCAAATCTGAAATGTGCATTTCAGGGCTTTGCTAATTTGGGATTGCTTAGCTCCACATCCTTCCAAAACTACACATTTATTGACCTCAGGAAGCCAGGGCTGGTCAAGGAGGTGGGGACCCAATCCCGCTGGGCACTTCAAGCCCTGGTCCAGACCCTGGATCTGAGCGATGGGAAGTGCCAGGCTGTGGCACAGCTGCACCTGGGTTCAGGTCATTCCTGGCTGTGGGGATAAAGTTTTTAAGAGTGGAAGTGGAAAGTTCAGTTAAGAAACTTTTCAGCAGATGCTGGTGGCTGACCAGCAAGGTGAGAAGAGGTGGAGGAAACCGACATATTTTGAAGACAGAAGCCACCAGATTGGCTAATGGGCTGAAAGTAGCAAATGAAGACCAGGGGATGCCAAGGAGGGGCCAGGGTCTGACCTGGACATCAGAGTGAATCTTCCAATGGACCAAGCATGAGCCTGGGGCAAGGAGGAGAGGGTATGGGCAGGAGGACCCTCAGGGCCCTAGGTCTGCATGCCAAGGAGGGTGCAGGCAGGAGGATCCTGAGGGCCCCTGGTCTGCATGCCTCTGAGACACTCTGGAGATACACGCTGGCAAGGTGGTTTGGAACCCGCATGCGCAGCTGTGTTGGAGGACACGGCGGAAAGGGAACACCTCAAGATGGATTTCGGGCCCAGCAGTGACTGAGGCGGCCTAGGGGAGAAGCGTCGAGCAAGAAGAGGGCCAAGCCAAGCCCAGGCCCTCGGGAAGCCTGCATGTATAGAAGCTGGCAGACGAAGCCGAGAAACAGCTGCTTCCTTCCTGGCCCCAACCCCTAAGGCAGGCGTCCCCAGACTTTTTACACCGGGGGCCAGTTCACTGTCCCTCAGACCGTTGGAGGGCCGCCACATACTGTGCTCCTCTCACTGACCACCAATGAAAGAGGTGCCCCTTCCTGAAGTGCGGCGGGGGGCCGGATAAATGGCCTCAGGGGGCCGCATGCGGCCCGCGGGCCATAGTTTTGGGATGCCTGCCCTAAGGCATGCTGTATAGACAAGTGGGCAATTCTCTGACCTCTGCAGCTTAGACACAGCTACAAGGTCAAGACCAGTCATTTACAGTTGAAGCAGTGGATCCTTTTCAGTAGGTTTATGGACAGATATGTTTTACTCTCAGACTCACCAAACCCCAAGCAGTCACAGATTGGAGTCTGGGCAAGCAGGATGGGCCCATTCGTGTATCCTCTGACGTCATCCTGGATCTTGCAAAGACCAACCCAGCTGGCATTCACAGCATACAGTATATGGGTAGGGGCGACATCAGAGTGGGTAATCCGGAGTGCAACTGCATTAAAAGGGACCTGGAAAATGAATTTGCATCTCACTCTATTCATTGCTACTTTGAAAGACTACTTTTAATTTCTACAGTTAGATTAGCCAGCTATCTAAAGCTAGGTCTGCCAAAATGCCTACCCAAAATTATCTCTAAAGAATAAAGCCAGGCGCAGTGGCTCAAGCCTGTAATCCCAGCACTTTGGGAGGCCGAGGCGGGTGGATCACGAGGTCAAGAGATCGAGACCATCCTGGTCAACATGGTGAAACCCCGTCTCTACTAAAAATACAAAAAAAATTAGCTGGGCATGGTGGCGTGTGCCTGTCATCTGTAATCCCACCTACTCAGGAGGCTGAGGCAGGAGAATTGCCTGAACCCAGGAGGCAGAGGTTGCGGTGAGCCGAGATCACGCCATTGCACTCCAGCCTGGGTAACAAGAGTGAAACTCTGTCTCCAAAAAAAAAAAAAAAAAAAAAAAGAATAAAAATGGCAGGGGGCGGTGGCTCCCACCTATAATCCGAGCACTTTGGGAGGCTGAGGTGGGTGTATCACCTGAGGTCAGGAGTTCGAGACCAGCCTGGCCAACGTGGCAAAACCCAGCCTCTACTAAAAAAGCAAAAATTAGCCCGGAGTGCAGGCTTCAGTCTCATCCTCAACTTTGACTACACCACTTCGGGCAAGCTGACTCCCAGTCCCTGGCCTTGGTTTTACCATCTGTAAAATGGGGATAGTAACAGGACCATGGCGAGCAGTGGCGCTGTGACAGGCTTAGAACAGAGTACTGCAGAGTGAGCATTTCAGAAGTGTCACCTGCCACCAGTTTTGTTTCTCCTTCATCCTCAATCCTAACGTTATCGTGCTTTCCTCCCAAAATAATTCTTAGCACCCGGGATTCCAAGCTGCAAATACTCTGGTGTTGGAATCCACTTTTGACAATAGTAATGTGAAATACTTTCAGAGTGAGTGCTCTCTGCCCAAACGTGGTGGCTCACACCTGTAATCCCAGCATTTTAGGGGGTCAAGGTGGGTGGATCACCTGAGCAGCCTGACCAACATGAAGAAGCTCCGTCTCTACTAAAAATACAAAAATTAGCTGGGCATGGTGGTGGTGCATGCCTGTAATTCCAGCTACTCGGGAGGCTGAGGCAGGAGAATCGCTTGAACCTAGGAGGCGGAGGTTACGGGAAGCTGAGATTGCCCGACGGCACATCATCCTGGGCAACAAGAGCAAAACTCCATCTCAAAAAAAAAAAAAAAAGAGTGCTCTCTGGGTCTCTGGGTGCCAGGTTCCACTGTGAACGCTCCCTGGATCCATACAATCACTCTCTGAGGTCCAGTACCACCCCTGTTCTACAGCTGAAAAGGGGAAGCGCTGGAGCAGCCACTGGGACCAGGTGGGACATTCAAACCCAGCACAGAGCAATACTCATCCTCATCACAGCGCCACGGCTAAGAGCAGTCACTGGAGCTGGACTGCCTGGGCCTGCATGAGAGCCTGGCCCCTTGTGCTGAGTCCCTCAGCCTCTCTGCATCTCAGTTTCCCCATCTGTAAAATGGGAGTAACGATAGAACCTAGATCACTGGGTCATTCTGGGGATTACATGAGCGACGAGTTATGGCGTGGTTAGAAGAGTGACCAGCACACAGAAAACCACAGACGCTGTGTGTAAACAAAATGAAGACAATTTCTTCTGTACGTTCAGATTACCTGATAGGGTGTCAGGCTATGTAAAGGAGTAAGTGGTTTTGGCATCGGGGGCTGCAGCTGGCTAAGGTAACTCAAGACAGACAGCTCTCGAAGAATTTTGTTATGTAATTCTCTGAAAGGCAATTCAGAACAAGGTAAGTCAGGATTTAACCCTCCACGGTCACCTCCCACAGCTGTCATCACACAGGCCGTATTTTCAGAGTACTGGGCTTTCTAAAGCTGCCCCCACTTGACAGACCCTGACTGGAAAAACAGGAAGGTAAAGACTCTCCTTTAATGCCGGGCGCGGTGGCTCATGCCTGTAATCCCAGCACTTTGGGAGGCCACGGCGGGCGGATCACGAGGTTGAGAGATTGAGACCATCCTGGTCAAAATGGTGAAACCCCGTCTCTACTAAAAATACAAAAATTAGCTGGGCGTGGTGGCGCCTGTCTGTAACCAACGCTCGGGAGGCTGAGGCAGGAGAATTGCTGGAACCCAGGAGGTGGAGGTTGCGGTGAGCCGAGATCTCGCCATTGCACTCCAGCCTGGGTAACAAGAGCGAAACTCCGTCTCGAAAAAAAAAAAAAAAAGACTCTCCTTTAAATCAAAGCTGCTGGCAGCCAGAGGTAGGGGCCACTTCTGGATATTTCCGCTGGGAATAACAGTTCAGAAAAAAACTGGTTCTTCTTTGCAAATGCACAGCTGTGGCAGAGACCTGAAGATTTTACAGGACTCAGGCCTTTAAAGGAATTAAGAATGGCAGGCCTTTTTCAACGGAAGAAAATGTAGTTTTTCAGCCAAATGAGGTTTAGTTACCTATTTCTTGGGGTTATTCTGAATGCAAAATCTGTATACACAGGTATCAGTTTATGTCCAGTGAACTCAACTGGAATCTCTTTTTCTTCATCAGCAAATTCCAAAGCGTCTGCAAATTCCACAAGTCTGAAACCTCGATTTCTCATCTTGGTCTTGCTTTTTGTGTACAAGCCATCCATGTCATCTACATACTGCGGGGTAAGGTCTGGCATACATTTACTGTGGTCAGAGCGGAACTGAACCACGTGGCTGGGAGACAGCAGTCGGATCAGATCAATGAGGAGCAGGAGCCCCTGGTCTGTGAGGAAGGAGACATTAGCACAGCTGACGCACTCAAGAACAGTGACACATTCGTATTACAAATGGGTGCTTTTGTTCTAAGACAAAGAAAAGATGGTCTTAAAACTGGGCTTTGGCTGGGCACAGTGGCTCACGTTTGTAATCCCAGCACTTTGGCAGGCCGAAGTGGGGGGATCACTGGAGGCTGGAAGTTTGAGACCGGCCTGGCCAACATGGCAAAACCCCATTTCTACTAAAACTACAAAAATTAGCTGGGCATAGTGGCACACACCTGTGGTTCAGCTACTTGGGAGGCTGAGGTGGGAGGATTACTGGATCCCGGGAGGCAGAGCACACAGTGAGCCGAGATCACGCCACTGCACTCCAGCCTGGGTGACAGAGTGAGATCCTGTCTCAATTAAAAAAAAAAAAAGAACCAAGGCCGGGCACGGTGGCTCAAGCCTGTAATCCCAGCACTTTGGGAGGCCGAGGTGGGTGGATCACAAGGTCAAGAGATCGAGACCATCCTGGTCAATATGGTGAAACCCCGTCTCTACTAAAAATACAAAACATTAGCTGGGCTTGGTGGCGCGTGCCTGTAATCCCAGCTACTCAGGAGGATGAGGCAGGAGAATTGCCTGAACCCAGGAGGCAGAGATTGTAGTGAGCTGAGATCACGCCATTGCACTCCAGCCTGGGAAACAAGAGTGAAACCCCGCCTCAAAAAAAAAAAAAAAAAAACAGCCAAAAAACTGGGCTTCGATGTGGATGTTTGAAAGTCAACAGCTGGGGCCGGGCGCGGTGGCTCAAGCCTGTAATCCCAGCACTTTGGGAGGCCGAGGCGGGTGGATCACAAGGTCTAGAGATCGAGACCAACCCGGTCAACATGGTGAAACCCCGTCTCTACTAAAAATACAAAAAATTAGCTGGGCATGGTGGCGCGTGCCTGTAATCCCAGCTACTCAGGAGGCTGAGGCAGGAGAATTGCCTGAACCCAGGAGGCGGAGGTTGCGGTGAGCCGAGGTCGCGCCATTGCACTCCAGCCTGGGTAACAAGAGCGAAACTCCGTCTCAAAAAAAAAAAAAAAAAAAAAAGTCAACAGCTGGCTGGGCTCAGTGGCTCAAGCCTGTAATCCCAGCACTTTGGGAGGCCGAGGCGGGTGGATCACGAGGTCAAGAGATCGAGACCATCCTGGTCAACATGGTGAAACCCCGTCTCTATTAAAAATACAAAAAACTTAAGGCCGGGCGCGGTGGCTCAAGCCTGTAATCCCAGCACTTTGGGAGGCCGAGACGGGTGGATCACGAGGTCAAGGGATCGAGACCGTCCTGGTCAACATGGTGAAACCCCATCTCTACTAAAAATACTGAAAAATTAGCTGGGCATGGTGGCGTGTGCCTGTAATCCCAGCTACTCAGGAGGCTGAGGCAGGAGAATTGCCTGAACCCAGAAGGCGGAGGTTACGGTGAGCCGAGATCGCGCCATTGCATTCCAGCCTGGGCAACAAGAGAGAAACTCCGTCTCAAAAAAAAAAAAAAAAATTAGCTGGGCATGATGGCGCATGCCTGTAATCCCAGCTCCTCAGGAGGCTGAGGCAGGAGAATTGCCTGAACCCAGGAGGCGGAGGTTGCGCTGAGCCGAGATCGCGCCATTGCACTCCAGCCTAGGTAACAAGAGCGATACTCCGTCTCAAAAAAAAAAAAAAAAAAAAAAAAAAAAGTCAACAGCTGCCAGGCGCTGTGGCTCACGCCTGTAATCCCAGCTCTTAGGGAGGCAGAGGTGGGAGGAGAGCTTGAGCCCAGGAGTTCGAGACCTGCCTGGGCAATATAGCGAGACTCCGTTCTCCACAAAAAGGAAAAAAAAAAAAAAAAAAAGTCAACAGTTACTCACACTGCCTGTCCTTCCCTTGCAGATGTGCGGATGCGGCTTACCTGAAACCCATCCCATAGTGTTGATGATGAGAGGGGACTCTCTCTTGTAAGCGCTGAACACATATTTTATTACATCAATATAATTCTCATAGTTGTTTTTACAAGAAGGTTTCCCATAATATACCATCTTCTGTGGTGTCCTCAGGTGAGTGAAAGGTGGTCCTAAGAAGACAAAGGTGAGTAATGAGATGAGTATGGTAGGATGAGTAATCAATCCTGGCTAGTTAAAAGGTGGGGAGGGTTTTATTTCAGCCATCATCACTAACAAAGAACATTAGGAAATATGAGACCATCCTACCTACAGGGACACTCCAATTCCATTTTTGGAAATCTAAGCTTTCAACTTAACACAAAGAAATGCTCACTTTCACATAAATGGCTAATGCCAATTATGTCCTACAATGGCCATTCATTCAGCAAACACACAAATCTGCTAACTGCTGGGCTTGTTCCAGTGATTTGGGACATATCTGTAAACAAAACAGACAAACGTCCCCACTCTTGAAGGGCTTCTATCCCGGTGAAAGGACAATGAATAACCACATGTCTCTTACAGGAATACAGCATTGACTCTGCCCTAGGCCTTTCATATAGAGCCCCTAATTCTCCTAACGACCCTGAGGCAGATAGTAGTATCTTCATTTTTACAGATGAGGAAATTGGGAAAGAGATTGACCTGAACAAGGTCAGTGAGCCAGTAAATAGCAAGCTGGCTTGAACCCAGAGGCCTGGTTCCTGCGTCCACTCCTAATCATGACACATCTCCTCTGGTCAGGTACAGGAAGCTGAGCAGCAGCTAATGAGGGCAGGCCAGCACACTCAGCAAGCCAGTGACCAGGACTGCGTGTGACAGGGTCAGCAGGGAGATGGCCTGGGTCAGTGTGATTGCAGCGAGGCCATCTGTGACAGAGATTCACTGTCAGAGTGACCACTACGATGGGAGCTGGAGTTCAGCCAGCGAGGTTCCCTTCAAGGTTGGGGCCAGTAGGGGCAGGGATGTGAGGCAGCCAGCAGCAGAGGAAGTGGCCTGTATAGTCCAGAGAAGACTGAGCAAATATGTAAATATAGTATAAATAATCACAGCCAGCTTTCTTACCACCAGAGAAAGAACTTACAAATATGAAAGCAAGGAAGGCTAACCAGAGTGACCCCTGGGGTGTTAGGCTGCAAAGGCTGGAATCAGAATGAGGCATAAAGTCATGGCTTTATTTATTTACTTTTTCTTTTTTATGTTTTTTCTTTTTCTTTCTTTCTTTCTTTCTTTTTTTTTTTTTTTTTTTTTTTTTGAGATGGGAGTCTCACTTTGTCACCCAGGCTGGAGTGCAATGGCATGATCTCAGCTCACTGCAACCTCCATCTCCCGGGTTCAAGTGATTCTCCTGCTTCAGCCTCCTAAGTAGTTGGGACTACAGGCATGTACCACCGTGCCCAGGTAATTTTTGTACTTTTAGTAGAGACGGGGTTTCACCATGTTGGCCAGGCTGGTCTCGAACTCCTGACCTTAGGTGATCCACCCGCCTCGGCCTCCCAAAGTGCTGGGATTACAAGTCTGAGCCATCACATCTGGCTTGATGAACAGTATTGATTCCGTGTTCATTTCTTGGGTTAGATAGTTGTACATAAGATGTGATATTAGGGAAAGATGTGTTTCTAATTTACATAACACAAAATGAATAGCAGTCCCATTTCCTAAAATGGAAAAGCACCATAGTTTGTTTTTTGGAGGTTAGAGAAGCAGTTATGGAAAGACCATGAGTTGGGTAGGCATATTTTCACTTTTAATATTTTATACTGTTCTATTTTTTTAGTTTCCGTAAGCATCATGACATATGAATTTTATAAAACCAAGACATTCGAGAAATACATAATACATACCCAGAACTGGTTCTGTAATATTAAGTAAAGAAATGCAACCAGGAGGGGTAAATTCTGTCTGTCCCAGATCACATTCCAAATAGTCAACGCAGGGAAGACTGCAAATTGTTAAAAAAGAAAAAAGAAAGAAAATCCTAACTAGCTTTACTCTGTAGAAAGCATAATCAGACAGTCAAGATTTCATGTGATACACAGGGATAATCCACAGCACGCAGGCAGCCCTTTAGAAGTGATGCCCCAAAGACGACAATCAGTGATTAAAAACAAGTCAAGAGATCCCAGAGCAGACCCTAAGATGGGCATGCCAAAAAATAAAAAATAAAAACAAGTCAAGAGAAAATGTGGTGCAGGCATGGTCACACTGTCCATGCATAACATAGGGACGACCTGTTTCTTTTAAGATGGAGTCTCACTCTGTTGCCCAGGCTGAAGTGCAACAGCATGATCTTGGCTCACTGCAACCTCCCCCTCCCCGGTTCATTCAATCCTCCCGTCTCAGCCTCCGGAGTAGGTGGGATCACAGGTGCCCACCACCATGACTGGCTAATTTTTGTATTTTTAGTAGAGATGGGGTTTCACCATGTACGCCAGCCTGGTCTTGAACTCCTGACCTCAAACGATCCACTGCCTCAGCCTCCCAAAGTGCTGGGATTACAGGTGTGAGCCACTGTACCTGGCCTGAATTTTTTTTTTTTTTTTATGAGACAGAGTCTTACTCTGTCACTCAGGCTGGAGTGCAGTTGTGTGACATAGCTTACTGTAGACTTGAACTCCTTGGCTCAAAGAATCCTCTCACCTTGGCCTCCCAAAGTTCTGGGACTGCAGATGTAAGCCACCATAACCTACCTCTGCTGTGTTTTAAAGGTAAAATTTCAGGTCTGGCACGGTGGCTCACACCTGTAATCCCAGCACTTTGTGAGGCCAATGTAGGAGGATTGCTTGAGCCCAGGAGTTCAAGACCAGCCTGGCCAACACAGCAACCTCCTCTGTCTACAAAAACAAAACAAAACAAATTAGCCAGGTGTGGTGGTGTGCTACTGTGGTCCCAGCTACTTGGGAAGCTGAAGTGGGAGGACTGCTTGAACCCAGGCCAAGTTTGTACCACTGCACTTTTGGCTGGGCAACACAGCCAGACCTGGTCTCAAAAAAAAAAAAATTAAAATTCCCAGGGGTTCAAGACCAGACTAGGCAACATAGCAAGAGCTCATTGCTACAAAAAAATTAAAATAAAAAAATTAGCTGGGCGTGGTGGCCCATGCCTGTAGTCCCAGCTACTCAGGAGGCTGAGGCAGGAGGATCACTTGAGCCCAGGAGTTCAAGGCTATAGTGAAGCATGACTGTGCCACTACACTCCAGCCTGAGGGAGACCCTTTCTGAAAAAAAAATTTAAACATACACACATGACTTTGGGAGGCGAAGTTGGTGGATAAAACGAAACAAAACCAAACCATACACACACACACCAGAATTTATAAATACAGACTCTGGGACCAAGTGTCTCCTCTTGGAAGTTCCCTGAAGGCAAGGGCAAGTCAGCCCACGCTACAGCATTGCCACATACTGCAAAACAGAGGGCAGTGAGAAGCAGATGCTTCGGCTGGGCAGCTTTCGAGCTGTATGTCATCTCCAGCTAGAAGCCACGAAGCACTCCAACCAAATCAAAAATCCCGCTAAAATCCCGCTTCATGCCAAAAACCTAGCAATGTATCAAGGCCGTAAGAAAAGCACTCTTACCTATTTAACAACTGGTTAATCAGGTATCTATTAAATGTTGACTTTCCGACATCCTGGGATCCACAAACCAGAATGACGGGGCAGCCATCTACTTCTTCTGCAGGGGAAACAAACATTGATTCCTAGAATTAGCCATCTTCCTTGGACACGAATTATGAGTAATAATCCTCTGGGCGTTTGGTGAACAGAACTGAGGGTGATCAGTGTGTATTACTCACCACAGGAAACACTGACTACCTCTTCCAGGGCTGACAGGGTACTCTCCGTTAACTGAAGGCCTTTCCTTTTTTTCTCTTTTCTGATGCCAACAGACCTCAAGGCTAAATGTTCAGGATTCATCTGGGGAGATGGACCCTGAAATCAACAATTTAAACTTTAAGGTGAAAAAAGGCACATTTTTTTTCTTCAGTACTAAATTTAAACAAGGCTCACAGAGTTGTGAGCCAGAGAAGATAAATTATTTCCTTCCTTTGTCTTGTGCCCCAAAATCCAACCCATCCACACATGTTGCCAACTCTATTTATTCCTAAAGTGGTTCACGCCTGTTTTCACAGTTTCTGCTTTCTCCTGAGCTGCCACTGCCTCTGCAGGAGACTAACAAGAAAAAGAAAATGCCTGGCGAGGCGTGACTGCACAGGATACCTTCAGCAGGAGGCCTGGCTCTAGACTAGGGGGGTGACGTAGAATCAAGTCAAGGCAACCTCTGAAAACATAAAGCAAAAACTCATAGAAATATGCAAGCAGAGTTGAAGGAGGGAGCAGACATGTCTGTGAAGTCCAGAAGGACTGGAAAAGCAACCCACGGAAAGGAAGAGCAGGCCCTTGCTGAAGCAGGTAAGGCTCAGATGGAACCAGCTCACCACAGAAGAGGATGAAGGAAGGGACACGCCCGCGAGCACATCCTCTTGCAATTCATCAACCCTGAGAATAAAGACATCATAAAGAGTTTGGGCGCAGTGGCTCAAGCCTGTAATCCCGGCACTCTGAGACACTGAGGCAGGCAGATCACGAGGTCATGAGTTCAAGACCAGCCTGGCCAATACGGTAAAACCTGATCTCTACGAAAACTATGAAAATTGCTGGGTGCGGTGGCGCGTGCCTGTAGTCCCAGCTACTCGGGAGGCTGAGGTGGGAGAATCGCTTGAGCCCAGGAGTTCTGGGCTGTAGTGCGCTATGCCGATTGGGTGTCCACACTAAGTTCAACATCAATATGGTGACCTCCCAGAAGTTGGGGACCACCAGGTTGCCTAAGGAGGGGTGAACCAGCCCAGGTCGGAAACAGAGCAGGTCAAAACTCCCATGCTGATCAGTAGTGGGATCGCGCCTGTGAATAGCCACTGTACTCCAGCCTGGGCAATATAGCGAGACCCCCATCTCTAGAAAAAGAAAAAAAAAAAGCTACAAAAATTAGCCGGGTATGGTGTTGCAGACCTGTAGTCACAGCTACTTGAGAGGCTGAGGCAGAAGAATCACTTGAATCTAGGAGGCAAAGGTTGCAGCAAGCCAAGATCATGCTACTGCACTCCAGCCTGGGTGACAGACTGAGACTCCATCTCAAAAAAAAAAAAGAAGAAGAAATGAGAAGCAGCCTAGTGTGAGGCTTCCCATTGGCAATGCTGGATTCTAGAAAACAATGGAACACAGCCTTCAACAATTTGAGAAAAAAGGCTTTTGAACCACCCATTCTATACTGTGTGTAACTATCAATCGCTGAGGGCAAAAGAACATTTAACAAAATTAGATAATCAAATTTACTCTCTCCCTTATGCGAAAAAACAACTCCAGAACCTACTGACATCCAGAAGACGGGATAGGGAGGGAAGTATCCAAGAAAGAGCGTAAGAAATATGAACAGTGGTGGTGAAGTTCCAGAAAAAACACATAAAGCTGATAATAAATGAAAAAAGAATGTGACTTCCCCATGGCGTCTGGAGCATTCGCGTTCAGCAGCAAATGCTTGGGGACAGGCAATTGCAGCCCCACCTCTGCGGTCCTGGTCCAGCTACTGGACTCTGAGTGACTAACAGGCAATCACAACAGTCTGCTCACTGTCCCACTCTCATTTCCTCTCCCCTTTCACTTCAGATTCCCGACACCCACCTCATATCTATCTGCTTCCCACACAGCGATGACCTTGATTCCATTTCCCAGTGCAGCAGGAAATAATCAGAGGACACCTTCTGCTTCCTCTGGCCCTCTCGTAGGCACTTCCTCCAGCCACTATCAATGACCTGGCTGTGCTCCTAAGGCCACATGATGCCAGAACCCGACCCATCCCTGGTAGCCGAGTTACAGACACAGTTCGGCATCCTCTGGTGCTTGGCCACCTCCCCTCTCCTCTGTATCATTCCCATCTGCCATGTTCCAGCAAATTTTTTTCATCCATCTTAACAAAACTGCAAATCTCTCCTGATCATACTTACCCAACTACCACTTCATTTCTTTGCTTCCCTTTACCGCTTTTACCAAACTCGGGAGTCCCTCTCCACCCAGACGCCTGACCCTGTTCCAATCAGGCTACTTCCCGCCTCTACAGATGGTGCTTTCTCAGGTCTCACCTGACCACCAACAGCATCTGTCACCACTGTTCAGTTAAGTCTCCTTCAAAGACTTCCTGACCTACAAGACATCACATGCTGGGTTTTTAGCCAATCCCGATGAATATCTTCTGCTCCCTCATCTTTGCCTGGACCTTTTCTTGGAGTGCCCCAGGACTCAGAGCTGGAACTGTCTTGTTTCTATCTATTCAACTCCATCAGCATTATTATCGAATCTGGTGGCCTGGGTATCCTCTCTGCCAAAGGCTCCCATATTTACACCTCCCAACTCTTCCCTGAACTCCAGACTCACATAATCAACTGCCCACTTGACACGCCCAGCTGGATGTCTACCCGGCACCTCAAGGTTAACAAATCGAAACCCACTCCTCTTGCAGTGTCCCCAACGGCGACTACGTGTACTTCAGTGGTTAAGCCAAAAACCCTGCTGTGATTCCTTGATTTTTCCTCACACCTCACATGTCCAGTCTGTCTGCCAATCCTGTAGATTAGACTCCACCTACTGGCCCATGAGAGGCAATGACAGTAATAGAACTGAAGGAAATCAATAATACAGCCAGCAAAAATTTAGAGATGAGGCCGGACACGGTGGCTCACGTTGTAATTCAGCATTTTTGGAGGCAGGTGGATCCTTGAGCACAGGAGTTCATGAGCAGAAATCGTGCCACTGCACTCCAGCCTGGGAGAGAGAGCGAGACTCTGTTTTAAAGACAAAACAAAGCCAGGCACGGTGGCTCAAGCCTGTAATCCCAGCACTTTGGGAGGCCGAGGCGGGCGGATCACGAGATCAAGAGATCGAGACCATTCTGGTCAACATGGTGAAACCCCGTCTCTACTAAAAATACAAAAAATCAGCTGGGCATGGCGGCGCGTGCTTGTAATCCCAGCTACTCAGGAGGCTGAGGCAGGAGAATTGCCTGAACCCAGGAGGCGGAGGTTATGGTGAGCCGAGATCACACCACTGCACTCCAGCTTGGATAACAAGAGCGAAACTCCGTCTCAAAACAAAACAAAACAAAACACCCAAAAAAGCAGGGCTGGTTAGTTTAGTTCAGTTGGTTAGAGTGCGGTGCTAATAAAAACCCAAAAAAGCACTTAACCAACTACAGAATAAAATGGTGGCTCTCATTGAGGAATAAAGCTAAGGAGAGGAGGATGAACATTTTTCATGATGTACCTTTCTATGCTATTTTCCATAAACACATAGTATATTCTGTAGGACCTACATAGCGGCTGGAGGAAGTGCCTGGGAAAGGAAGTGCCTGGGAGAGGGCCGAGAGCGCTCTTGTGACAGACAAACTGCTCTTCCAAGGCAACATCATGCATAGTCATTTGATATCACTGTTTTGGTGCAAGTAATTAGCAAAACTCTGAAAGAAAATGGGTTCTACCTCTTGCACAAAAACGTAGGATGCACCTGGATAGCTGCTTATGAAGTCCACAGTGGTAGTTTTCAGATGTTCCAGCAACACAATGGAACACAGAGGAGAAAAATTCTGCATCGACCAACGCCTGTCATCTGTAAAGAGAAAAATAAACCACCTTAGAAGTAATAATTTCATTATATTCCACACCCTTTAGGACTGCCATCTCCTCGGCTAAACTATAAACTTTAGGAGAACAGGGATTACAGTTGAGAGCCTTTTTCAGGGGGTCATATTGCATACTAAGATCACACCTGGGAGAAGAAGTCAATCTAGGTTTGTCACATAATAACTTTGTGGCCTTGAACAATTTTTCTTGTCTGTAAAATGGTGAAAATAATAGTACTTTCGCCGGGCGCGGTGGCTCAAGCCTGTAATCCCAGCACTTTGGGAGGCCGAGGCGGGTGGATCACGAGGTCGAGAGATCGAGACCATCCTGGTCAACAAGGTGAAACCCCGTCTCTACTAAAAATACAAAAAGTTAGCTGGGCATGGTGGTGCGTGCCTGTAATCCCAGCTACTTAGGAGGCTGAGGCAGGAGAATTGCCTGAGCCCAGCAGGCGGAGGTTGCGGTGAGCCGAGGTCGCGCCATTGCACTCCAGCCTGGGTAACAAGATCGAAACTCCGTCTCAAAAAAAATAAATAAATAAATAAATAATAATAGTACTTTCACTCCCAGGACCCTTGTAAAGGTCTAGAGAGATACATAGCAAAGTTCTTAGCACAATGTCTAGATCATAGTAAGCATGGAAAAATTATTAATTAGCCTTATTACAGTACGTCCTCAGTAAATTATTACCCAGTTCTTTTCATTACCCAGGTTAAGATGAGATTTGAGTAACATCCGGGCTTCCCTTTTGAGTTCCTTCTTGCTTTTCTCAGGCATCGAGTAATGAAGCGCATTGATAGTCAGGCAAGAGTGGGTATACACAGAGAAGATATCTTGGGCAGGCTGGCCTTGGCTGATGGTAAAACCGAACACCTGCACCTGGCCATAGAGGCAAGTCACACGACAGATGCCACTAAAAGTAAAACCCTAGCAGGGAAAGAAAACAGAAACAACAAATATTATAGATCCTGTCACTAAGGACTGAAACGTTCTTTTTTTTTTTTGAGACAGAGTTTTGCTCTTGTTGCCTAGGCTGGAATGCAGTGGTCCAATCTCGGCTCACTCAAACCTCTGCCTCCCAGATTCAAGCAATTCCCCTGCCTCAGCCTCCTGAGTAGCTGGGATGACAGGCATCTGCCACCACACTCGGCTAATTTTTGTACTTTTACTAGAGATGGAGTTTCTCAGGCTGGTCTTGAACTCCCAACCTCAGGTAATCCGCCTGCCTTGGCCTCCCAAAGTGCTGGGATTAAAGGTGTGAGCCACTGCAACTGGCCATGACTGAAACATTCTAAAATTTTAACTTGCTGTTCATACATCAAAAGGCAGGTAAGACCAGGCACAGTAGCTCACACTTGTAATCCCAATACTTTGGGAAGCTGAGGCAGGAGGATCACTTAAGCCTAGGAGTTCAAGATCAACCTGGGCAACAGTAAGACCTCTCTCTCTCTACAAAACATTTAAAATTTAGCAGGGGTGCGGTGGCATGCATCTGTGGTCCTAGCTACTTGGGAGTCTGGGAGGTAGAGGCTTCAGTGAGCCATAATTACACGACTGCATTCTATCAATAATAAATACTGGGCCAGGCATCATGGTTTACACCTGTAATCCCAGAACTCTGGGAGGAGGAGCTGGGGGAAATCACATGAGGCCAGGAGTTTGAGACCAGCATAGACAATGTGGCAAACCCCCTCTACCTGACCTCCAGCCCTATCCCCACCATCTCTACTAAAATTACAAAAATTAGCTCGGCATTTGCCTGTAATCCCAGCTACTCCAGAGGCTGAGGCATCAGAATCGCTTGAATCGGGAGGCAGAGGTTGCAGTGAGCTGAGATCATGCCACTACACTGCAGCCTGGGCAACAGAGTGATGTTGTCTCAAATAAATAAATAAATAAATAAATAAAAATTAAATAAAACAAACATTTTAGAAAGGGTATAGCCATAAAAAGGAACGAGATCGTGTCCTTTGCAGGGACATGGATAGAGCTGGAAGCTGTCATCCTCAGCAAAGTAATTCAGGTACAGAAAACCTAACACAGCATGTTCTCACTTATAAGTAGGATTTGAACTATGAGAACACATGAATACATGGTGGGTAACAACACACTCTGGGGCCTGTGGAAGTCTGGGGGAAGGACATCAGGAAGAACAGCTAATGGATGCTGGGCTTAATACCTAGGTGAGGCATTGATCTGTGCAGCAAACCACCAAGGCACTCATTTACCTATGTAACAAACGTGCACATCCTGCTGCATATGCACCCCAGAACTTAAAAGTTGAAGACTGTGGCTCAAACCTGTAATCCTAGCACTTTGGGAAGCTGAGGTGGGTGGATCACCTGAGGTCAGGAGTTAAAAACCAGCCTGGCCAACATGGTGAAATCCCATCTTTTTTTTTTTTTTAAAAAAAAAAAGGAGGCCGGGCGCGGTGGCTCAAGCCTGTAATCCCAGCACTTTGGGAGGCCGAGGCGGGTGGATCACGAGGTCAAGAGATCGAGACCATCCTGGTCAACATGGTGAAACCCCATCTCCACTAAAAACACAAAAAACTAGCTGGGCATGGTGGCGCATGCCTGTAATCCCAGCTACTCAGGAGGCTGAGGCAGGAGAATTGCCTGAACCCAGGAGGCGGAGGTTGCGGTGAGCCGAGATCGCGCCATTGCACTCCAGCCTGGGTAACAAGAGTGAAACTCCATCTCAAAAAAAAAAAAGTCTTTAAAAAATAAAATAAAAGGCCGGGCGCGGTGGCTCAAGCCTGTAATCCCAGCACTTTGGGAGGCCGAGGCGGGTGGATCACGAGGTCGAGAGATCGAGACCATCCTGGTCAACATGGTGAAACCCCGTCTCTACTAAAAAAAATACAAAAAATTAGCTGGGCATGGTGGCACATGCCTGTAATCCCAGCTACTCAGGAGGCTGAGGCAGGAGAATTGCTTGAACCCAGGAGGCAGAGGTTGCGGTGAGCCGAGATCGCGCCATTGCACTCCAGCCTGGGTAACAAGAGCGAAACTCCGTCTCAAAAAAAAATAAAATAAAATAAAATAAAATAAAATAAAAAATAAAAAAGTTGGGCCGGGCGCGGTGGCTCAAGCCTGTAATCCCAGCACTTTGGGAGGCCGAGGCGGGTGGATCACGAGGTCAAGAGATCGAGACCATCCTGGTCAACATGGTGAAACCCCGTCTCTACTAAAAATACAAAAAATTAGCTGGGCATGGTGGCGCGTGCCTGTAATCCCAGCTACTCAGGAGGCTGAGGCAGGAGAATTGCCTGAACCCAGGAGGCGGAGGTTGCGGTGAGCCGAGATCGCGCCATTGCACTCCAGCCTGGGTAACAAGAGCGAAACTCCGTCTCAAAAAAAAAAAATAAAATAAAATAAAATAAATAAATAAATAAATAAGTTGAAGAAAAATAAAATAATTTAAAAAGGTAACTGATTTCCAAGTAACAGATAAGTAATGGATCACATTGTACTAGGTGACCATAACATACTTCATTTATTTAGTTTTTGAGACAGAGTCTCATTCTGTCACCCAGGCTGGAGTGCACTGGTGCGATCTTGACTCACTGCAACCTCCACTTCCCGAGTTCAAGCAATTCTCATGCCTCAGCCTCCCAAGTAGCTAGGATTATAGGCACATACCACCATGCCTGGTTAATTTTTGTATTTTTCAGTAAAGACAGGGTTTTGCCATATTGGCAAGGCTGGCCTTGAACTCCTGACCTCAGGTGATCTGCCCACCTCAGCCTCCCAAAGGGCTGGGGTTACAGGTGTGAGTCATCTGTGCTCAGCCCATACTTTATATTATATATATATATATATATATATATATATATATATTTTTTTTTTTTTTTTTTTTCAAGCTTTTTTTTGGAGACAAAGTCTCACTGTGTCGCCCAAGCTGGAATGCAGTGGTGCAATACGGGCTCACTGCAACTTCTGCCTCCTGGGTTCAAATCATTCTCCTGCCTCAGCCTCCCTAGTAGCTGGAACTACAGGCGTGCACTACCACGACTGGCTAATTTTTGTATTTTTAGTAGAGACAGGGTTTTACTATGTTGGCAAGGCTGATTTCGAACTCCTGACCTCATGATCCACCCATCCTGGCCTCCCGAAGTGCTGGGATGACAAGCATGAGCCACTGCGCCTGGCATATGTACATGTACGAGTGTGTGTGTGTTTTTTTTTTTTTTTTTTTTTTGAGACGGAGTTTCTCTCTTTTTACCCAGGCTGGAGTGCAATGGCGCGATCTCGGCTCACCGCAACCTCCGCCTCCCGGGTTCAGGCAATTCTCCTGCCTCAGCCTCCTGAGTAGCTGGGATTACAGGCACGCGCCACCACGCCCAGCTAATTTTTTTGTATTTTTGGTAGAGACAGGGTTTCACCATGTTGACCAGGATGGTCTCGGTCTCTCGACCTCGTGATCCACCCGCCTCGGCCTCCCAAAGTGCTGGGATTACAGGCGTGAGCCACCGCGCCCGGCCCGTGTGTGTGTTTTGACAGAGTCTTGTGCATACGTGTGTACGTGTGTGTGTGTGTGTATTTTTTTTTTTTTTTTTGAGAGAGTCTTGCTCTGTCACCCAGGCTGGAGTGCAGTAGCCGCACTCTCAGCTCACTGCAACCTCCGCCTCCCAGGTTCAAGTGATTCTCCTGCCTCAGCCTCCCAAGTAGCTCAGATTACAGGTGCGTGCCACCATGCCCAGCTAATTTTTGTATTTTCAGTAGAGACAGGGTTTCACCATGTTGGCCAGGATGGTCTCGATCTCCTGACCTTGTGATTTGCTCGCCTCGGCCTCCCAAAGTGCTGGGATTACAGGCATGAGCCACCACGCCTGACCTGTTTTGTTCTGTTTTTTACTATTAAAGTCCCTTTCAGGGCAGGGCGACTGGGCTCCCACCTGTAATCCCAGTACTTTGGGAGGCTGAAGCAAGAGGAACACTTCAGGTCAGCCTGGCCAACATGATGAAACCCCATCTCTACTAAAAATACAAAAATTAAGCCAGGTGCAGTGGTTCACGCCTGTATTCCCAGCACTTTGGGAGGCTGAGGCAGGCGGATCACCTGAGGTCGGGAGTTTGAGACCAGCCTAACCAACATGAAGAAACCCCACCCCGGGCCGGGTGCGGTGGCTCAAGCCTGTAATCCCAGCACTTTGGGAGGCCGAGGCGGGTGGATCACGAGGTCAAGAGATCGAGACCATCCTGGTCAACATGGTGAAACCCCGTCTCTACTAAAAATACAAAACATTAGCTGGGCATGGTGGCGCGTGCCTGTAATCCCAGCTACTCAGGAGGCTGAGGCAGGAGAATTGCCTGAGCCCGGGAGGCGGAGGTTGCGGTGAGCCGAGATCGCGCCATTGCACTCCAGCCTGGGTAACAAGAGCGAAACTCCATCTCAAAAAAAAAAAAAAAAGAAACCCCATCCCTACTAAAAATACAGAATTAGCTGGGCATCGTGGCACATGCCTGTAATCCCAACTATTCAGGAGGCTGAAGCAAAAGACTCTCTTAAACCCAGGAGGCAGAGGTTTGGGTGAGCTGAGATTGCCATGGCACTCCAGCCTGGGAAACAAGAGCGAAACTCTGTCTCAAAAAAAAAACAAAACAAAAAAACCCACAAAAATTAGCTGGGAGTGTGCTGAGCACCTGTAATCCCAGCTACTTGGGAGGCTGGGGCAGGAGAATCACTTGATCCCTGGAGGTGGGGGCTGCAGTGAGCTGAGATTGCGACACTGCACTCTAGCCTGGGCAACAAGAGTGAAACTCCCTCTCAAATTAAATAAAAATTGGCGAGCCTAGTGGCTCACGCCTGTAATCCCAGGACTTTGGGGGACTGAGGTGGGTGGATCACTTGAGGTCAGGAGTTCAGGACCAGCCTGGCCAACACGCGAAACCCCATCTCTACTAAAAGTACAAAAATCAGTCGGACATGGTGGCGAGCACCTGTAATCCCAGCTACTTGGGAGGCTGAGGCAGGAGGGGCAGGAGAATCACTTGAACCCGGGAGCCAGAAGTTGCAGTGAGCCGAGATTGCGCCACTGAACTCCAGCCTGGGCAACAAGAGCAAGACTCTGTCTTAGGTGAAAAAAAAATAAAGAAAGAAAAATACAAATACAAATACAAATACAAAAACTAGCCGGGTGTGGTGATGCACACGCCTGTAGTCCCAGCTACTAGGGAGGCTGAGGCACAAGAAGCACTCGAACCCGGAGGCGGAGGCTGCAGTAAGCGGAGATCGCGCCGCAGCACTACAGCCTGGGTCAAACAGTGAGACTGTCCTCAAAAAAATAAATAAACAAAAAATAAAATAAAGTCCCTTTAGCCCTTAAGGCCTAGGGACCCCTTTACAGGGTACCTGTTACCCTGCTGCTCAGGGGAGCCTAGACCACCAACAGGATGGACTTAAATCCGACTTGCAGCCGAGTTAACAGGCCCTGAAAATCACGGTCGTGTCTTAACCTGCAGCTCTCCCGGGGCTGCCTCTCCAGCCCTCCCTGCCCTCGGGGTCTCCTGCCGGCGCCCCTTACTTACCTGTTCGACGGGCAGCAGCAGCAACGCGCGGCCAGGCCCCACTGCCCGCGCCGGCGGGATGGGGAGAAGCCGGGGACAACCGGAGGCGGGTTCGAATTCGAATTCGGGTTCGGAGGCCGGGGTCGGGCTAGGGATCGGGCTGGGGATCGCGGTCTTGGGTCTCCGGGCCGCCGCCACGCGGGACACCTGGCGGACTCCCTCCCTCCAGTCCACGCCGGCAGCCTGGGCTTGCAGGAGTCGCCTCCGTAGGCGCCGCCGACTGCACCAACGCAGGGTCCACAGCCGGCGGCGGGGTCGGCGGCTTAGGATGAGCTGGGGCCGGGCCTTTCGGGCCCGCAGCCAAGAGGCGCGGCAGGAACCCCGCTTGAACAGCCGCCCCGAGTCCGCCATGCTGGACCCTCAGCACCCACCGCGCGAGAATCTCGCAAGATCCCGTCGCTCCGCCCTGCGGCCCGCCTAGCTGCCGAAAGGAGCAGCCTCGGAGCCGCCCGCGCCCTCTTTCGGCAGCCTCCGGAAGCGCACCAGGAGGCTCCCGCCGGCCTGGTCGCGGGAAGTCGGGGTGGGGACTGGGGGCTCCGCCACCCCACCGAGGACTCCGTGTACATTATGCAAATTCTCTACCCCAGCCTGCCGGGGAGGGAAAGCCACAAACCTCGAGACCAGCCAAGGGCCACCTCTCCGGAAATGCACCCGGGATTTTATTTTTTTTCTCCTGCAGAAAAAGCTTCAGGATTCGCAGTTTAAACAAAACCTGTCTATTTGCATACCTTCGGTTTGCATGGATTTGTCTCGAAGTGAGCAACGCTGGGTAACCAGGCGAAAGTATAGGACGATTGGCCCAGAATCTTAATGTTAGAAAACTGGAGACTGGGGGCAGGAGGGTGTCGACTCAAAGCTGTGTCTCAAAAACAGGCCCAGGTGAAAAAGTTCTAAAACCTCGCAACACCCGGAGAAGCTGTGTCCCAGCCTCCCGCCTCGCCCCAAAATGCCAGGGCTCCCTTCCTGAGCCAGGTGAAGTCACCGGCACCAGAGCGTGGACAGAAGCCACAGCCGTCCAGAGGGAGGATCGCTGGGCGCCTCCTGCTTTGCATCGTGCCTCGGTCCCGTCCAGTTCCTGAGTGGCACCGCAGGCCCGCAATGCCAAGGCAAACAGCCCTGCTTCAGCCACTGGGCGCCAGCCCCACCCGCTTCGGGAGCATGAAGTTAGGAAGCATCGGCTGCCGCCGTCTATTTAAGCAACTGGCCTCCTTAGGGGACACTCGTTGGCCATGCTGGGCGCGGGCGTGTGGCCAGGATGCTTCTCCGCATAGCTCACCTGGCCGGCCTGCAGCTGTTCGTTTCCTGCTGCCGGGCCTTTGCCTGCCACAGCATGGAGTCTTCTCCAGACTTCAGTCTCCCCGGGGATTACCTCCTGGGAGGCATGTTCCCTCTCCATTCTGGCTGTCTGCAGGTCAGGCACAGACCCGAGGTGACCCTGTGTGACAGGTGAGTGAGGGGGTCAGAAGAGCCACACTTGGTGGGTCCCACGGCAATGGGGTTCCCCTCTGGCTGCCATCCTCAACTAGGACCTTGTCTCTCTATTTTTGCCCTTTGAACTGTCCCCAGCCCTTGCCCATCAATCCACATGCCACCTAAGTGCTCGCTAGACCTTCCTGGACGCTTCGGCCAGTTTCCAATTATTTCACTCTTGCTGTTAGAATGGGTTGTATTATAACTCCATTGAAGTCAGTTCCTGGCTTTGTACCATACCTAGATGGCAAGGCCTAAGCAAAGGCGGCCTTTTCCCTCTTCTATTTTCTCTCCACTCCTACCCATGTTCAAAGCTCCCTAGAGTCCCAGATGACTGTGGGCGGAGACCCCAGTAAGTGCCAAGGCACGAGTCAGAAGCCTCAGCCTATTGCCATATAAATAATGAAGACAAATATAACTAGAGACATAACCGTAGTTGTATTCATAAGCCAGGCGCGGTGGCTCACGCCTGTAATCCTAGCACTTTGGGAGGCCGAGGTGGGTGGATCACTTGAGGTCAGGAATTCAAGACCAGCCTGGACATCCTGGTGAAACCCCATCTTTTTTTTTTTTTTTTTTTTTGAGACGGAGTTTCACTCTTGTTACCCAGGCTGGAGTGCAATGGCGCGATCTCGGCTCACCACAATCTCCACCTCCTGGGTTCAGGCAATTCTCCTGCCTCAGCCTCCTGAGTAGCTGGGATTACAGGCACGCATCACCATGCCCAGCTAATTTTTTGTATTTTTAGTAGAGACGGGGTTTCACCATGTTGACCAGGATGGTCTTGATCTCTTGACCTTGTGATCCACCCACCTCGGCCTCCCAAAGTGCTGGGATTACAGGCTTGAGCCACCGCGCCCCGCCCGAAACCCCATCTTTAAAAAAATTTAAAAAAAAAAGTAGTTATTCATAGATGATCTTAGTGATTCATATGTGATCTTAGTTATTCATATGTGAACTTATTCACAGGTGATCTTAGTTCTTTTACTAATCCCTCTCAGGTCGCAAAGTGTGAACCTGGGGTGCCATTGTGAAAGGAATGACCCTAAGGCAAGATGCTTTAAGCCCTCTGTCACGCCCCTGAAAGGGCTGCTGGAGGGCACCTTGGCTATGCGGCGAGAAAGCACCCACTGTTTTGCGGGCTGTGGAAGGAGATGTCAGAGATGTCCCCTCCCCGGGAGGAATTAGGAGAAAACTCCCCTCCCGCAAGCTCTTGCAGTGGACCTGACGGCTGTCAGGGAGCCCTACAGACATCTGGGGGCTTCATTGACTCTGTGTGATGCTGTGCCTCATTGGTCACGTTCCATGTCCACTCTCATGTTCCGCTTCTGCACCTGGTTCCTTTTTTCTTAGAAGAGATAATCAGTAAAAGTAATATAAATCTTTTTTTTTTTTTTTTTTTTTGAGACGGAGTTTCGCTCTTGTTAACCCAGGCTGGAGTGCAATGGCACGATCTTGGCTCACCGCAACCTCCGCCTCCTGGGTTCAGGCAATTCTCCTGCCTCAGCCTTCCTGAGTAGCTGGGATTACAGGCACACGCCACCATGCCCAGCTAATTTTTTGTATTTTTAGTAGAGACGGGGTTTCACCATGTTGACCAGGCTGGTCTCGATCTCTTGACCTCGTGATCCACCCGCCTCGGCCTCCCAAAGTGCTGGGATTACAGGCTTGAGCCACCGCGCCCGGCCCAAAAGTAATATAAATCTTAATGTCTTTGTTCTTTCTTGACAAGTATGGAAAAGTGCTGACGCATTATGCTCCTTACCTCATCTCGGCGACTAGAAAGCCTTGGGCCCCCATCCCTATGTCACGTGGTGAACTTGACCCTATCACTGACCACAAATGCTTCGCCCTACCTGCCCTACCTGCCCTGCCCTCAGCTTTTTTTTTTTTTTTTGAGACGGAGTGTCGCTCTTGTTACCCAGGCTGGAGTGCAATGCCGTGATCTCGGCTCACCGCAACCTCCGCCTCCTGGGCTCAGGCAATTCTCCTGCCTCAGCCTCCTGAGTAGCTGGGATTACAGGCACGCGCCACCACGCCCAGCTAGTTTTTTGTATTTTTAGTAGAGACGGGGTTTCACCATGTTGACCAGGATGGTCTCGATCTCTTTACCTTGTGATCCACCCGCCTCGGCCTCCCAAAGTGCTGGGATTACAGGCGTGAGCCACCGCGCCCCACCGCCCTCAGCTTCATACGCAATAAAAGTCAGAGTGTGCGGACCCTCGGGGCCACTGCCAGACTCCGTGCTTTGGTTGGTAGCGGACCCCTGGGCCCAGACTCTCTTTTCTCTATCTCTGTGTCTTGTGTCTTTTATTTCTACAGTTTCCTGTCTCCACACCAGCAGAGAGGGGCTCAAAGGACCCTGTATGGCTGGACCCTACAGATGGCAAGCATGGTTCTCCATGGGGTGGGAAGGGAAGGCACATCCCAGTAGATGCTTTAGGAGCTTAAAGATAAACTAGATTGAGAATGTGTCATTGCTTTGATAATAAAAATAAAAAGGCCAGGCGCGGTGGCTCAAGCCTGTAATCCCAGCACTTTGGGAGGCCGAGGCGGGTGGATCACGAGGTCAAGAGATCGAGACCATCCTGGTCAACATGGTGAAACCCCGTCTCTACTAAAAATACAAAAAATCAGCTGGGCATGGTGGCGCGTGCCTGTAATCCCAGCTACTCAGGAGGCTGAGGCAGGAGAATTGCCTGAACCCAGGAGGCGGAGGTTGCGGTGAGCCGAGATCGCGCCATTGCACTCCAGCCTGGGTAACAAGAGCGAAACTCCGTCTCAAAAAAAAAAAAAAAAAAAAATACAAAAAATTAGCTGGGCATAGTGGCGCGTGCCTGTAATCCCAGCTACTCAGGAGGCTGAGGCAGGAGAATTGCCTGAACCCAGGAGGCGGAGGTTGCGGTGAGCCGAGATCGCACCATTGCACTCCAGCCTGGGTAACAAGAGCAAAACTCCGTCTCAAAAAAATAAAATAAAATAAAATAAAAATAAAAAGATAAACTAGATTGGGGTGGGGTGCGGTGGCTCGTGCCTGTAATCCCAGCACTTTCAGAGGCCAAGTCGGGTGGGTGGATCACGAGGTCAGGAGATCGCGACCATCCTGGCCAATATGGTGAAACCCCATCTCTACTAAAAATACAAAAAATTAGCTGGGCACGGTGGTGCACGCCTGTAATCCCAGCTATTCAGGAGGCTGAGACAGGAGAATTGCCGGGATGGTGAATTTTGTCTGTCAACATGTCTAGGCTATGGTGCCCAGAGTTGTGTGGTCAAGCAGCGGTCTTGGTGTTGCCATGAAGGTATTTTTAATTTACTCATTTTGGCAGGGCATGGTGGTTCAGGCCTTTAATTCCTGCACTTTGGGAGGCTGAGGCAGGCAGACCACTTGAGGTCAGGAGTTCCAGACCAGCCTGGCCAACATGGTGAAACCTTGCCTCTACTAAAAATACAAAAATTAGCCGGGCGTGGTGGCTGGTGCCTGTAATCCTGGCTATTCGGGAGGCTGAGGCACAAGAATCGCTTGAACCCAGGATGTGGAGATTGCAGTGAGCCGAAATCATGCCACTGCACTCCACCCTGGGCTGGAGTCTCCAGTGAGACTCAGCCTCAAAAAAAAAAACACAAAATTTTATTTTGAGACAGAGTCTCTGTCACCCAGGCTGGGGCCCATTAGTGTGATCTCGGCTCACTGCAACCTCTTCTTCCCAGGTTCAAGTAATCCTCCAGCCTCAGCCTCCAGAGTAGCTGGGATCACAGGCATGTGCTACCACGCCTGGCTAATCTTTGTACTTTTGATAAAGGCTGGTTTTCACTGTGTTGGCCAGTCTGGTTTCAAACTCTTGGCCTCAAGTGATCCACCCACCTCAGCCTCCCAAAATGCTGGGATTACAGGTGTGATCCACCACGCCCAGCCTGAAGGTGTTTTTTAGATGTGGCAAACATTTAAATCAATAGACTTGGGCTGGGTATGGTGA